GGTGAGAAGTTTCCTCGGCAAGGAACGCGAGCGGTTTTCAGTTGCAACATTGCACCAGCGCGGTTGCGCGTTGCGAGACCGGAGCTTGCGTTGCGACACTGGCAACTGCTCAAGCGCATTCCGGCCCAAGCCTTAACGCCACTCTGAAGTTCAATGTCACTACACTTGTCAGATGAAGAATTGGAGAAAATTGAGCAATACCATCAATACACTCTAAACCTGTTAACATTACATTAAAGGTCACTTTTATGTAAGTGCGTTTACGCAGCCTTCTTTGGCAAGAGTATTAAAAATTAACGTTTGAATAAATTATTATTTATACTTTCGGTCGTTTTATTTAAGTTATCTCATGAGCACAGCCGGCAGCAGGTTATTCAATATTTACGAAGATACTTACTTTATTTATTGAATTTATTGCAAGGACTTACTTAATACAAATTCAAAAGCAAATACGGGTAATATGAGTTGGAACCGATCTGTAAACATTATCTCGGCAGTTAAGGTTGGATACGACTGTCAAAATATCCTTGTTTGGGCTATGAACTACGGTGCAATGTAAATTAGAAGCCTACATAATTTTATTTCATTCGCTTTGATCAATAAATTACTCCCCCACGTTAATACTCTCTCAATCATAATCAATAAACAGCATGTCAAATTTTATTTTTTACTTTCTACGGCTTAATATTCGACGTGTGCATTTCTTAACAAACTTTTTTAGGTCGAAACCGTTGCAAAAACTTATGACAAAAATCGCTGAATGTTAGATGTGTTTAAAAGTAAAAGGCCAATATTTTTCTAATAATGACCAGCTAACCATGTACAAATCACGCTTTATGGCGAAAATAGGGCAACATTATATAGATTGTAATGCTAAGAATAATATAGTTAACATAGTAAATGAGCAAAGTAAATGAAATCACTCGTTCGTCGTCACAACAAGCACGAGTGCAAATTTAATACGTTAAAATCATTTCTCGGGGCATATTTATCTAGTGACATGGACTCAAAATCTAGAACCAAATAAATACAATCGAAATAATAAATCGATAGCTTCATTACGCGCAATATTGATTTTCGATCCCTAACATTTACCGAATACTTAATTGTTCCTGAAAACAATTCTCACTTAAAACCAAATACTGTCGTAACTCAAAAATGGTGGAATTGACAAAACATAAAAAAACATGAAAAATTAAAAAAAAAATACTGAATGGATATTACTGTGTGTAATGTGATTATTTTTATTTATACATAATATTTAGTTATACATTTCTAAAGAAGAATAAAAATTTATTGGTGTGATTCAGTAATTTTTGAACTTTCAAATCGTGTTTTCTCAATTCCACAATTTTAACTTACGACAGTATTTGGTTGTGCGAATTACGAAAATTTTATTCTAAAATTTGTTATGCCCGTATTAAGAGTGTTGCATGATGATGATAATGCATGCACAGGGCATTGTTTCGAATGTTATTGAAAAGATACAATACAATTAGGTAATCTCACATTCATTATACCTATTTGCATTGTGTTGATTTCGAAAATGCTACCTAGAAGCGACACCGATGAACTTCGATGGTCATCGAATGGAAGGTTAAGTTTTCCTTGGGGCTTCATTAATCAAGTGTAAGTGTCTCCTAATAAATTGTTTTCTTTGAAGCAAGGTCGATGGACAATAGACTGGCCACACCTGCTTATTTTCTTACAAAATCTGTTTGAGTCAATAAAATGCTGTATGCAAGAAATATATCATTAAAAACTTATGAAATATGTGCTTTAAATTTTTAGTGCTTTAATATAGCTATTACAGAATAAATTATACCTCATAAAGTCTCAACATACTTGTTCTTTCTCTACGAAAATGATATTATACTATAGTCCACAACAATATAAATGAGTAAAAGATGAAACTCATAGAGGATATTTTTGTTGAATACAGTAAAAGTAAATCTCCAACCTCCTTCGTCAAGAGACCACTTTTAACAGTACCTAAACAATAGAGCTGTTACATCCTTAATAAAGCGGCCGTCTAATGCGTGAATAAGAATGTGAAGATACTATTTATAAATGAATCGGCGCTCTGTAATTCATTTTTTGACCTTGAACTGTCTAATTGTTAAAAGTGACTATCATTATTCGATTAGTACAGTGTTTCAACATCCTTAACAAGGTTTTTTGGTAATTGTACGGTGAAAGGTGTAGATAAGAGAATAAATATTCTACGCGAGTTGTTCTAGTATTGATCGACCGTGAAAGAATGCAATGTCGTGAGTTGTATTTTCCTTTGAAAGTACATCTTTTATTACAAGACCAACGGTTATTATTGTAAATTAATTTTAAAAAAGGTGGCAATAAGTCCTTTTGAGATATTTTATTCCGAATTTCAAACATCTACACTGTAGAATTAATAACCTATATCAAGGTCGTTTATGGCTTATAGCCTTCCTTATCTACAACAATTCTAGAAGAACGTACTGAAGTGAAAGAATTACAAAAAACTTTTACCTTTGTCATTATAGCTACAGTGTGTAATGTTCTTTACAACAAAAAGGTAAACATTAGGTATGACCGATACAAATGCACATACGAGTTTATACTAAAGAAGCAAAGCGAATTGGCTCCAATGAATGTAGGTCCAAGAAAATCATCCGAGTACAAGAAAGGGACTTTCACAACTTAGAAACTTTTAAAGATTAGTTCAGGTGCCTATCAATAGACGTGTAGTAAAATGAGCACCAGACAATAAGCAAAGGCGACTCGAATAGCACGCCAAAAAACATTGAGATATTTGTCTACTATAGGCACTAAATCCAATTCCTGCTAGTATAAGTGCAATTACTGCAGACATTCGATGAATATATTTTATATGATCAAATTTTTCACACAAAAATCGATCACCACGTACAGAAAACACCGTTTAATACAGAAACATACACTATAAATTTTAATATCCGAATAATGACTAGCTCAAGATAAAATATGCAAATGCATCCTTAAATATTCGATTGTGATTTTATTAATGTTTGTTTGCGGTCAAAAATTTACAATTGAATTTATATTATGTCGCTGGATATGATTAAAATGGCTTATGAATTAATTTGTTTACTAGGAAACTCATTAATTGCCCAACATTTATTTCTTTAGTGGTTTTTCATTTTAGTACTACCAAGTCTAGCTGCTTTTTTAAATACAACAAAATTTGCATTTTTATATTAAGCTACCTGCTTATACTCTAAAACATGTTTCTTGGCAATATTGAATATCATCCACTTTGATAACGCATTCTTTATTCTATTTTTTAATAAATTTGATTAGTATTTTATGTACGATTAGAACTTAATTATCACTTAGCATTATTTAGTGACAAAGTGATAATTTGCCAACTAAGTGGAGTGTAAATTGTCTAAATATACAGTGGTGGTCATAGAATTAAGAACGCTTCATAATACGGCACCAGTTTGATATACAAATGTTCATAAAAAACATAATAACCCTTACTGGAAAATATTGACTATAGTGCTAGCTAGTACACATTCGGGGCTAACAAAACCTAAAATTAAATAAAAATAAAAATATTTAAGAATACTGTTAAAATTAGAATCATTTCAATTTTATTTAAACTGAAATAGGAGGGAGGCTGGACAAACAATTAAGAACGAGGTAGGGACTTGTAGTATTCACAATATTTCAATAATTTGAGAAGTGGTATATTTTAATTAATTTTACAACGTTTCCTTAATAATATGATAAATAAAAAAAGGAATTTAATATTTAGTAGTCTGTCCAAAAATGCTCTATTGGATTAAGATCTGGGTTTTTCGGTGGCCAGTCCAACACAGTAACCAGTTGGCTGTCGAACAGAGTGGGCTGTATGTTTCGGGTCATTGTCATGCTGGAACGTCCAAATTACCGGGAGATTATCATCAGCGTATGGTAGCATACATTTTTCAAGGTTGTGTAGTTATTGGTATTTGTCCATATTACCTTGTATCAGCCTAGTAGGCCCTACGCCATAACCAGAAAAGCAACCCCAAATCTTAATGTTTCCACCACCGTGCTTCACCGTCTTTTTCGTATATTTTGGATTAAATGCCATATCTTAGGTCGGCGTACGTACTGCTTGCCATCAGAGCATAGTCTGTTCATTTTAGTTTCATCCGAGAAAAGTACATACTTCCACTACGCGTCTGTCCAGTGTTCATGCTTCCTTGCAAACGCAAGTCGGGCCTGTCTATGTTGTGATGTCAACCATCCTTGTTACTCTCCCAAATAAGTGTGCCTCCACCCTCCACCAAGCGTCTTCGAACGGTGCGTGCACATCACAAGATTTATTTTTTCCCATTATTTTCTATAAATAATTGAATAAAACGTTCTTAATCCAACAATGCCGCGCAAAGGACTTAAAAATAGTAATGAAGAATTATCGCATTACATTTTCAAAATAGTAAAAAAGAAAATTATATTTTAGTTCTTAATTATTTGTCCAGTCAGTGTTCCAGGAAGTAACAGAGTGATTGTGATTTAATAAATAAAAGTATATATAGGTACCATATTTAGGCATAGGTAACAAGATTATTACGCTAAATAAAATAGGTCAATCCACATAATATTTTTAACACCATAACAGCATATTTTTAAATTAATTCTACACTTAATGGTTATTGCAAAATAATAATGGCTTTGTGTCATTAATCGTTCTTAATTCTATAACCACCACTGTATATATTTCTTAATTTATTATTTCACAGATTTTAGGCTCTATCATTAGCATTGTCCATAGATTGTATTAGTGTATGTAGCATTTTATTAAAAACTTAAATTTGCTCAATATAAGCATTGTCTTCTATTCTACAACCACATAAAGACAGGTAAACAAATCTCATAGTATTTGGAAGTATTCAGTTATCGGAAACGCATATAAGGCAAATAAGTGGCGAGTATCAAATGATAAAGGGACAGAAATGGTGCAGTTGACATTGCATTAATCAGAAACTCACCGGTTCTGTATCCCAGCACAACAAAGCACTAAGCACTCGCAGTGTTTATGCAGCTAGCAAGAAGACAGCTCAACGTCCGGTACTGTCAACTACTGGCGCAAACTGCAGCGCGTGGGCAAAGCGCGGGTTACAATTCAACTCGTAATGTGCGCGCGCGCTTCTATCAACCGTATATATCACGACGAGCTCTGACGTCACCAAGAACCACGATAAGGACTTTGCCCCATGAAATCGGACACATCTCAACAAAAAACTTGTTCAATCTTTATTTAATCCGGGCTCCCAACGTACCAGTATATACGTTTAATTTACTCGCGTTGAACATCTAAAGCGACCGCGTAACGCAGATAAATTTGAACTATATATTTATTCACATATATTTTCAATTCGTTATATGGTAGACAAGGCATGTCATTTCCTGACAACAGTTTGTTCGGTAGAATTTCTATATGAAGTTAGGATAAAACCTTCTTTTAATTTTTTACTGAATATTTTGTTGTGAGTGGCGAGTGCTTGAGTGGAAAAACAATATTTTAGTTTTGTTAGATTGTGCAAAAATATATTAACTTACTAAAGAGCTAATACAATCTAAATTAGTAGTAAGATTATAATCCATTCGACGATTTCAAGTGAAATTTGTTAACCTACGAAATAATTAATAAAAAGTTATTAAAATTTTGATAATCAGTGCATTGATAAGGTAAAATATATAAAGTGTATAATAAAGTATATATATTATATACAATTACAGAGGTATAAGCATAATCAGTTTAGTTCTTTCTCTTTATCTTTATAAATCTTTTCTTCTAAATCTTTATAAAATTCATGTTTGAGATATTACAAAAATGTTTTTCGCAGTGCTGCTTTTTTTTAAAAATCGGAATGAAATACTCTAATGTAAAATTATCTTTTGTTCTTAGGTTTTAACGCATACATATACAGGTGAAGAAAAAATTGGTTACGTCACTTATATAGCATCTGGTTGATTAAATAAAAATACGTAGTTTTTAAATATTTTTATTATACATGTATGTATGTACACTACGTATTTTATTTAATAAACCATATGCTATTTAAGTTATTCTTTCTTCACCTGTAAAGTTGTCATAATTGAGATGGTACCGGTTGCCAGTTCACAGTCGATATATTTTTTTTCATCCTCTAAGACCTACACCTTATAGGATGGAAAAAAATAAAGCCTACACCCACTTTGCTCCTGACAGCTCTGTCCTTAATACATCTTGCGTAATAAGCATACATTAAAAAGCCTTTTTTACTATTCTATCGTCGGAAAAATTGTGTCCATTTACCAATGCTATTTTTATAGTACCAGAAAAAAAACGGAAAATTCGCGACAAAACACATTAATAAACTTGCGGAAGTATACTGCTAAAGTGTTTGTACTTACCATTAACTTTAAAATATTTCGTTTTCAGGAAGTGTCTTCAGATTGACACTAGATAGTGTTGAAGGTATGTTGTATTTTATATTCACTGTGCATTTGTGTAATTTTTTTATTTCTTAATTTTATTATGACGGACTGTTCACAACTTGTTTGATAAGTGGTCGCGTAGTGAATGCAACCAGCGGTTGTACTAAAATATATTGGCTCGTTTATGCATGTGCTTCGATAAATGAGAGGCTTGTAGCATAGTATAATAAAACAAGTATTGTAACTCCATACAAACGTAGCAGCCCGGCTTACAGGCGTGCACGCCTGTCACGCGCCGTGTACGGACGCACACATTCATATAATCTCGCGGTGTTCTCACAGCGCAGGTTGTCCCTCGCGCCATTTAATTATATAATTGAAGCGATCGCTCGGAGTTTAAAAATTATGTCAATACAATAAATTTATGTGTAGACGTAACAATACTAGACGTGTTCATTGTTGTGTTTTTGCTAGTTTGAACATGAATGCGTAAAATTCAGAATTGTCCATCATTTCATTTCTACTTCATAATCATACTCCATAATCAAGATACCAATCCGCGAATGCTGATATAAAAAATATCAACACCTTCATTATGTAACACGAGAATACTGTGGACCTCATTTTTTTGCAATTATGTTTACAACCGATATGTATAACTAAAATAATAATGTAACAACCCTATGCACCGAGTGTAGTGTAAGCATTTACGCGTCGAAAAAGCGGAAGTTGCTCTACTTGCTTCTAATTATCCTATGCTTGTAGGGATCAATACTGCGTCAGCAATAATCGATAATGACGCCTCTATACGAGTACTATGATGCATACTTAAGAATACAAAGAGTCATACAATTATCTAGTGGAGCTATATCTGTCTATTTATACAACAACAACAATTCATAAATTTTAGTAATAAAAATTTACAAGCCTGGCAAATTATCACTGATTTTGTTCTATTACCATGCTGTTACCATATCTTCTATGTTTATATTCTCTAACCTTTCGAATAAGGACTTGAAACCAACATCACGAAATAAATTAAAAATAATAATAATTACCCTTACAGACTAGACGAACATTATATTCAAAAACCGTGCCTGCAACACCATTCAACGTTAAAAAGTCATGTGTCAAATGCTGTGTTGTCATTTAAAAAACAAAATATAATTCGATATGAAACTGCTAAATTAATGTAAAGTTTTCTAATGAATGATATTTTTTTAAATTAAAATCGCTGTGGTACCTTTGGTTGATTACTCCACATTTTAACTAATTAAGTACAAAATACTCAAATACTTCTTGAACTGAAAATTTTATGAGCATCCCACTTGGTTGCTGCTTTGGATCACGTTCAAGAGTCTGCGCAAACCGGCGAAGGGAGGGGGAGAGCATCGAAAAGGATTTTTTGCCCGCCAGCGGACGCTGACGAGAGATATCTCAAACGATATCGCGAGCATCTGCCAGCGTACCGCCGAGTCCGCTAGAATGCAGCGGCATCGGTCAGATTTGAATCCCTTCTACTAGCGATGATGCAGTCAAAAAGTCCATGGCGCATTCAGGAAGACTCCGGCACACACCTGTGGATTCCGACGCATACCGGTGGATTCCGGTGCATACCAGTGGATTCCAGCGCATATCGGTGGATTCTAGCGCATATCGGTGGATTCTGGTTCATACCAGCGAATTTCGGTGCATGCCAGCGGATTCCGTCGCTTACAGGTGGCGCCACCCGCCGCTATATCCTCTAGCGTACTCTTCAATACCGTAGAGAGAATACATTGTTCCGAGGTTGATCTCAGAGCATTGCAATTTATACCTTATCTTAATTGTGATAGCATAAAATATAAACTTATAAATTACCAATTCTAATATCCAATATGTGACATTAACTGACCGCGATTGGAGTTCAAAGGACGTAAACAACACACAATATATTTTTAGGAAAATCGACGATCATTATTAAAGTCAAATTTTTTTATTTCCTGGCACACTCGACATCAAAATGGGAAATTATATATATATATATATTAATACATATACTCACATATACATATATATCATATATCCGAATAGGATCGGATTTGAAATATAAGTCTGTTTTTGGGTCTTTGTTTCATTTAATAATACCGTTTAGATACCACTTGGTACACAATAGGTACGATATGTAATTTAGCGTAATTTAAATGGATGAAATAATGTAGAGTTCCATTCTATTTCTGAAACATTGTAACTGTCCAAGAGGAGAGAACGAGTTTGTAAGTTAACTGAATAATGATTTCGTATATATAGGTACAGCTAATTCCTCTAGACTAAATAAAATGATGACCTTAAGTTTGCAGGTGCTGGGTACAAACTTGCACTCTGCATAAATGTGAATCGGACTCATTTAAGTACTACTACATACGAACTTCCTACGCATGTCCACTCCAAAAGGACTAGTACCGCCGTGACTCATCATTTCGGATGCTGGTACTAGTGGGAAAAACACAGTGGTACTTGTCGGTGGTACTAGTGGGAACGAAGGAATACGTCTCCAAATAATTTCCAGCTCAATAGTGCCGAACATCGTTTCCAAACTGATAACATATATATAATTTCATAGCGGATACGAAACCCAATGAAAAATTACAATCAAAGCAAAAGCGATACAAGTTTTTATGCAGAACACAGGCGTACGATGACCACATTCCACTGCAACGGTGGAAAATACCCGAGGGAAGCGGCTATTTGTTATTTTTAGCCCGGCTTTTGCGTCAGCAGTGCCTTTTAAGTTCATAAACAAGACTACAGACTTTTTAACTGTGTTTCATAATGGTAGGTCTGTTTCATACTTAAGTGTGTACTTTAAATAAAGAATAAAAATTTGCAGAAATCTGCAAGTCGGCGACGAATTGTTTGAAGTCTTTCACCCCAACCCCCATTCGCACGGACAACTTTTGATGTGTAGGATATTACTAATATAAGTTGATAATTGAATAGATTAACCGCTTTGAAACAATGGAACATCGCATAACATAGAGTTAACATAGAGTCGCATAACATGCCTTAGGTACCTACCTAGATATTATACTTACCATGTCTGTTTATTTATATTAATTGGAAAACAATATTTTTAATGTATTTTGTTTTATTGTACAAGTATGTTCATAATTATTATATTACAAAGTTGATATGTAAGTTATAATAGACATTTAAGCACACGTGTAAGGCTTAGTGCCATTTGTTATTATAATATCTATGCTTAAAGCACTTAGATTCCAATTAGGCCCGGGACAATTATTCAATACATCTTTGTAATATGTTAATAATCTAACGAGGTCATTGCACTACCCCAAGGAATTATATATCTTCCTCTTTGATTTGATTTACTCAATTTGTTGTATTTACCGTACATTCGCGATGTTTATAAAACGTCCGTTAAAAATATTACATATCCAGTAACATTAAGCAAAATAAGGGAAGATTGAAGAAAAAAGAGGTAAGGGAAGGCCGGGGCGAAGTTATTTTTTTTATTATAATATCAAGTGACGGGACAGACACGTCTGTCCATAACAGTTGCAGTGTCACTCAGAGCTTTAAGTCGCAAAGATCTGAGGGGCACCACCACTGCGCCCGTCACCCTGAGGCATAAATTGACAAGTCCCATGTGCCTGTAATTTCACCAGTACCCTTACCCTTCAAAACCGGAACACAGTAATGCTGACACTATTCGCAACAAA